CGATGCGGGGCTCGATCCCAGGACCCTGGGATCATGACCTGAGCCGAAGGCAGACGCTTAACGACTGAGCCACCCAGGCGCCCCTAAGATTTTATTTTTAAGTAATCTCTACACCCAACATGGGTGAGCCAGCCTGGAGATCAAGAGTCGCATGCTCTGCTGATTGAGCCAGCCAGGCACCCCTAATGTTACCTTATTTTTAAAATACAAATTAGGGGCACCTCTCATTTTCACTCCTGCTTTGTCCTAAGAATACCTTGGCAAAGGGCCACTGATGTTATCCCACCTTAGTCACAGTAAGGCGGGGCTGATAAAATCTTCAGGCCCAGTAGGAACCAATGCTACCTGATTCTGGGGTCAGGGATCCCTGGGTTTGAATCCTGGCCCCAACACTGGCCAAGTGATGTGACCATGAGTAATGAGTGTACCTCTCTGAGCCAGTCTTCTACTTGGAAAATGGGGACAATCACAATTCCTACCTTGCACACTTACTCATTTGTTCAATAAATATTTGAGAGCCTACTGTGTATCATGTAGTAGGAATACACCAAGGAACAAAGTAGATAAAAATTTCTGTCCCCATGAAGCTCACTTTCTAGTGAGAAAGACAAAGCATAAAAACAGGATACATAGGGGAACTTAGTGTCAGATGGTGACAAGTACTACGGAGAAAAATTAAGTATGGGAGGAGGTGAGGAGTTCAGAGATGACCTTATTGAGGAGGTGACACTTAAGCAGAAGCCTGAAAAGGTGAGGGAGTGATCTAGGCAGATGTCCATATGAATATAACAATAACACCAGCCAACACTTATATATATACTATGCACTGTGCTAAGCATTTTACATATATTGATTCAATCCTCTGACAGTATAAGTATTTTTTTTAAGATTTTACTTATTTATTTGATAGAGAGAGAAAGCGCACAAGCAGGGGGAGCGGCAGGCAGAGGGAGAGGGAGAAGCAGGCTCCCCGCTGAGCAGGGAGCCCGATGCGGGACTGGATCCCAGGACCCCGGGATCATGACCTGAGCCGAAGGCAGCTGCTTAACCGACTGAGCCACCCAAGTGCCCCAGTATGATGTAATATTATTATCATCCCCATTTTATAGAAATTGAGGGTTAGAGAGGCTAATTGACTTGTTCATGATCACACAGGTAGGGCTGCCTGGGTGGCTCAGTCAGTTAAGCATCTGCCTTCGGCTCAGGTCATGATCCCAGGGTCCCAGGATCGAGTCCCGCACGGGGCTCCCCTGCTCAGCGGGGAGCCTGCTGCTCCCTCTGCCTCCTGCCTCTCCCCCTGCTCGTGCGCTTTCTTTTACTCTGTGAAATACATAAATAAAATATTTTAAAAAAAGATCACACAGGTAGGTGGCACCAAGATTCGAGCAGAGGCAGTCCAGAGGTACTCTCACCACCATGCCATGCTGCCACTAGCATGTCAACTCCAAGAGGACAGGTCTTTGTTCAGTTTGTTCTCTGCTGCATCCCCAGTTCTGGCACAGTAGGTGCTCAACAAAAGATAGCTGTTATGCATGAGTTTTAAAGGAGGGGGAGTTCCCCTGCAGTTACCAGCCAGGTGAAATGACCCCAAGACCTCCTTTCCAGCAGATCTGATGGCCAGGGTGGAATCAATTTGCCCAGCAAATATCTGCACCTTCTTTTACAGTCGTTGTCACTCCTCAGGCTTATGCCCCGGGAGTCCCCTGGGCTGGATGGGGACTTAGAGCTAGAGTCATACAGACGGGGAGTGAGATGTGGGATGTGAGCCCACAGGCAGCTTAACGGTGGGAGCATGCACACAACGCGCCGCTGGCCTGCTAGATGCCAGTGGCCACTTCTCATTGTGCAGATGGGGCCGTTGAAGCCAGACAGACCCAAGGTCACAAAGCAGGGGGGATGGGGTGGGGGTCGGCCCAACCGAGGGGATACAGGGGCTGGAGTGGGAGGTGGTCAAGGCAAGTGCCCCAGGTTGCAAAGCACGGAGGGCCCAGAAACAGCTTAATGGGAGCCGCAGCTCAGAAGGCGCAAGGAACCCAAAATCCCCAGCGCCCACTGTGCAGATGGTGGACACCGAGGCCTAGAAACACACTAGGGCTGCTCAAGGGCACACAGGAGGACAACGCGCCCAGAATCCGCTCCTCAGACCTCAGCCGCACCCATCCCTCAGCCCATGCCCAGCCCGACGCCCCACTCACACTGCCCCGTTCCGGAAGCCTTTAAGCATGGCCAAAGCAGAGTGGTAGCGGCGCTTGCGCAACAGTTCGTTGACCGCATGGAGCAGGGCTAGTAGCTGCGGCGGGACGGCCATAGTGCGAGAGGCGCGCGGGGTGGGGAGCGAGAAGCAGCACCAGCACTGACATCCCCGGTTCCGGCGGCGCCGCTGGCCGCACTGGACCGAGCAGCGCGTCTTTGCGCTCATAGGCTGCTTCTGCTGTCACTCTCACGGGAAGAGCCGATCAAAGGGCTTCCTCGTCTCACACGGGGAACGAGATGCACGCACTCTCCCGAATAGCGGCCTGACTGGAAGAGTGGGAGAGTTTGTAACCAATCACAACGGGCTCCGCCCGACCAGCTCTAAGGAAGATCAGAATCACACACGTGGATTTGTCCAACCAGGTAGCCTGTTTCCTTCGTGCTTGGCAGGAGTTATGTCACTTGAGAGCTTGAAAGGACGTTTCTTGAAAGAGGAGCCGCCCTCCCTAGAATCGGGAGGGTGACACTGGGAGGAGCCAGGCCTCACAAGTCTTTACACAAGACTGCTCTGATTGGGTAACAGTGCTCCTAGCAAATTTACTAGGGCATTAATTATATGAGATCTCAAGGGCTTCCATTTATTCTTCAAATCCAAACTCCTTCCCACAGTCCACGAGAAAGACTATAATCTGGCCCCTGCTTCTTTCTCTAACCTCATATCCTGTCACTTGGCCCCTCGCTCACTCCTCTCCAGCCAAACTGGCCTCGTTGCCGTTCCTTGAGCATGCCAAGAAGGCTCCTGTCTCAGTGCCTTTGCACCTAATATTTTCCTGACTGGTATGCATTACCCCCATGGTGGGCTCCTTTTCAATCTTCAGGTTTCAGATCAAATGCCACCTCTTCGGAGAGGGCTTCCTGGATGTCCCATCTAAAGTAGCACTGCCCTCTCTTTTATTTCCTCCATATAACTTTTCACTCTTTGAAATTATTTGTTTGCTACATTTCCACTGTCCATTGCCCCTACCAGGCTGTAAATTCCATGACCGCAGAAACCTTGTCTGTCTCGTTTTCTGCTGTAACCCCAGCACTTAGCACATGGTGGGTGTCCAACATATGCTTGTTGAAGCTATACAGTTTGGGGTTGACATCTCCCAGAGTACTGGTGGGTGGAATTTATGTGTGTCACTATGTGGAGTTGTCATTGGATAACAGCTACACGTTGAGTTGTGGCTGTGGCTTGTGAGGGTATCCCCTAGGACTTGGGCCATGTGGTATTTATCTGGGATATTATTGCCTGGGTCAGTGTCAGAAGATGGTGTCAGAGGTCAGTGAAGGAGGAATTATACTTGGCCTATTTTAACACCGAAAATGGATTTTCTTTCTTCTTCCTTCCTTTTCAGTAATAGTGGGCTGGTTTATTCAGGTAATCCTTCCTCTGAAAATAGTGGCGATGTTACATAAAATATAAAAATTTTCCCCTGAAAAACACTGAAAGGTTTATAAGTGATTGTCTTCTCCTTGTGTCTTCACATGGTCTGTAACACTGCCTGTGTGTACATGGTCTGTACATACCTTTGTCCAAATTTCCTCTTTTTATAAGGACACCAGTCATACTGGATTAGGACCCACTTATATAACCTCGTTTAATCTTAAATACTTCTTTTAAAGGCCCAATATCCAAATACAGTCACATTCTGAGGTACTAGGGGTTAGAATGTCAATATATGAATTCTGGGGGAAAACAATTCAGCCCACAGCAACCACCATGTTTTGCTGTCTCCTACCAATGCCAAAGAACAAGATGTCAGGGCCCGGCATTGCTATGTGTGTCCTTACTTCCTTTCCCTTGCAACTGGGACTCTGGTTTAAGCTGCTCATGATTTCTCCCCTCCCCATGGAGAAGTTAACTTTTCTGGGGTGGCAGGAGCACTCATTGTGGAGGGGGACACTGGAAGTTTCCCAAACTTTCCTTCTTCCCTACATGGCTCCATGCCTAGAATTACCATATTACTTATACCAGGAATCTCTAAGCTGTGATTTGATTCAGTTCAGTGCCAACCAGCTGGCCTTAAGGAAATAGGACTGACAGATTTGGGTGGAAGAAGAGATGGAGGCGAGGAGCAGAAAGTTCAGAGCAGGAGTCAGCCTGAATGGGGAGCCTGCTGGAAATGGATTCTACATCCCTGAAAGCTCATTCAGTTATTATATCAGCCAGGTGGTCAAATAACAAGCATTTCCCAGGTTACTCTGTGTCTAGCTCTGAGTTCCAACCAGAATGGATGCACTACCTCCGCTGCTCAGAGAGCTCCTATTGAGGGTTTGGAGGAAAGGGGAATTTCCAAGAAAAGTATCACATGACAGCAGTAGTACCAGGTACTGTGAGAAACGGGAACAGCAAGGGAGGGAGGGATCCCATCCAGGCAGATCATGGAAAGCTTTTTAGAGGAGGCACAAATGCAAGCTTGTGTTGTTCCAATGAGGGTGGAAAAACAGCATTTTGGTAAGAGAGAACAGAATTTGCAATGTCCTGAAGAAGAGATAAAAATCAACTATGTGCACATACACCTGGATATATGGAAATATATGGAAAACTGTCAAGACTTGTATTAGTGGAAACTTTTACTGTCCAGTGCCTCCCATCACCCTCAGAACTAAACTTCAACCCTCACACTGGCCTTGTCTGTCTCTCCATCCTCATCCTCATACCTCACTTATTATCCTCAGTTGTTCCTTTACATTCTTTGGCCTTCTTTCATTTAGACCTCAGGGTCTTTGCACTTGCCCAAGATGATATAGCTAATAAGCTCTGCATGTTTCCTTTTCTCCATGTGACTTCATATCATTTCTCAAGTCCACCTCCTCAGAGAGGCCTTCCCTGACCACCCTGTCTAAAGTAGCTTCCTTTCCTGCAGAGGAAAGAAAACATATAATCACAGAATATTTCTTTTTTTTTTTCCTTGTTTATAGTCCATCTTGCCTGCAGGACTAAGACTCCAGGAAAGCAAGGATTTTTGTATTTATGTTCATGGCTGTGTCTCCAGCATCTAGAACAATGTCTAACACAATATGTATATAATAAATATTTTATTTTTTTTTAAGATTTTATTTATTTGGGGGAGAGAGAGAGAGAGAATGAGTGGAGAGAGGGACAGAGGGAGAGGGAGAAGCAGGCTCCCCGCTGAGCTGGGAGCCTGATGTGAGGCTTGATCTCAGGACCTTGGGATCATGACCTGAGCCAAAGGCAGAGGCTTAATCAACTGAGCCACCCAGCCACCGCTGTAATAAATATTTTAAATTACAGTTAACCCTTGAACAACATGGGTTTGAACTGTGCAGGTGAATTTTTTATAGTTCAGTGCTATAAATGTATTTTCTCTTCTTTTTTTTAAAGATTTACTTTATTTATTTGAGAGAGAGCGAGACCCAAGTGGGGAGAAGGGTAGAGGGGGAGGGAGAGAGATAACCCCAAGCAGACTCCCCGCTGAGTACCAAGCCTGATTCAGGGCTCAATCTCACAACCCTGAGACAGTGACCTAACTGAAACCAAGAGTCAGAAGCTTAACCTACTGAGCCACCCAGGTGCCCCCTCCATTTTCTAAAGATTTTATTTTTAAGTAATCTCTACACCCCATGTGGTGCTCAAACTCACAACCCCGAGATCAAGAGTCACATGCTCTACCAATTGAGCAAGCCAGATGCTCCTCTTCCTTATGATTTTCTTAATAACATTTTCTTTTTTCTAGCTTTATTATAAGAATACAGTATATAATACATATACAAAATATTTGTTAACTGACTTTATGCTATTGGTCACAGTAGGCTATTAGTAGCTACATTTTTGAGGAGTCAAAAGTTGTACACAGGATTTTCAACTGTGTGCAAGTTTGGTGCCCCAACCCCCATGTTGTTCAAGGGTCAATTCTAACCAAATGAGTGTGAATGTATTAATATATTACTTGAATAATTTTTAAAAAGAACAGTTATATTGAGAAGCTCTTGAAGGGGAGAGATGACAAGAATCTGAGGCCATTTGATCAATGGGGATGTTAAAGGAAAGACAAGGAGGTGGGAACCCTGGCCTGACTCCTGTCAGAGAGGCAATGGAAAGGGGGGGTTTAGGCCTTGAGGAAGGCCCTGGGTCTCCAAAGTTCCCCGGGGAAAGAGGGTGAGGCATACAACCTGGGAAAATGGTAGGTTCTCTGTGCGGGACATTTGCTCAGGGCTTGCTGTGCAAGGGTGAATAGGAAGGGGAAGGTGTGTAGTGCTGGGGAAGACAGGGGTGGTATTTGGGTCAAGATGGGGAGTTCACCAGTAGAAATGGGCCTTGAGGGGGTGTGTAGGTGGACGGTCTGTGAGGCAACTTATCAGGAACAGTGGCTGGTAATGTTCCATAAGGGCAAAGGAACTTTGAACAAAAAAAATTTTTTTTTTTACTCTTAGGAGTTACATATTTATTTAGTGAATATGAGAAAATGAAAATTGTGATTCTTATGGTTATTACGTTGGATGAGACTAAAATAGGTATTTAAGAAAAAACAATGAGAACATTTAGAGTCAAATCCAAAGGCCAATTTGGAACCACTGTCACACCTGGTAATTAATTTTTAAGATTTAATGTCTGTCTGCTTCCCCCACCCCTAACTCCAAGGGAAAGGAGCACTGGATCCTGGAGCTATTATAGGACTTGGTGCATAGTAAACTCTCAATTAGTGGCTAATGGAGCATGAACTATGAATAGAGAGTGGTGTTGGATTGGGGGGGTGTCCCAATGAGGACTGGAGTGGGGGAAAATACCTGGGAGACCTGGATAGGCTTTCTGTAAGGCTGGGCTGAAGGTTGCTAAGGCGGGATCGAGGTTTTATTTGACAGAATTCCCCAGGAGGCAGGGATGGTGGTCTGGATGAAGAAGAAATGGAGGTCCCCAAAAGGTGGAAATGGGGGGTTAAGCAACAGCCATGGGTGAATGTCTGAGATGATGGGGGATTAAGACCGGGTTGAGGGCGCCTGGGTGGCTCAGATGGTTGAGCGTCTGCCTTCGGCTCGGGTCATGGTCCCGGGGTCCTGGGATCGAGTCCCGCATCGGGCTCTCTGCTCCTTGGGAGCTTGCTTCTCCCTCTGCCTCTCTCTCTGTGTCTCTCATGAATAAATAAATAAAATCTTGAAAAAAAAAAAAAAAAGACCGGGTTGAGATGGGAGGCACTTCAGGAGACAGGTGACTCCCAGT